GAAGTTTCTGAAGAGCTTTTTTTTGTACATAAGGATGTCTGGCCCTTATGATAAGCTTTCTAGATCTCAACCTGAAACAGTTGCAAATTGCTGTAGAATGAAAGATGAAGCAGGACAGTAAGGGAAGAATAGCGGGCAAGTTCAGTGAGATAACTTGGTAGAACTTGATTTAAGGAGTTTTGGAGGAAGATGTGAGATGCAGCTGGGTAGTTCAGTTGCAATGAGTGCAAAGGTCGACATGTAGGTTTGGAAAGAGTTTGGATGTGGCCTTATCAGCTAGCTGCAAAGCGAGAAGAGGGCAGATAGGTGAGGCTGGCAAAAGGCAGTCATTACTGCTGTAGACCTGGCCTCAAAATCGTGTGTCTGCTGTGCTGGAAGAGGACAAGTAGGGAAACAACAGGATGAGAAGAGGAAAAGCTGATGTGTTTGAGATGGAAACAGACTCAAGGATTTGGGGGAAAATGTAATGAGTAAACAAGCCAGATAAATGGGTACTACTTTCAAGATCGCTCAAATAAGCTAGAGCTAGATGCCAGCAACTTTTAAGTGGAACGCAAGAAGTTAGAGTAACTCTGATGAGCATGAATTCTAGTTATTGAAATGGGATTTGGTAAATCTCCCAGATTAGGAATCTATTACAAAATATGGGATAAAGAGGTGTTTGGAAAAATTTGGAGTGGATTCTGGCTAGTACTTAAGTCAATCACGGAAAAGATATCACAGGAGAGAGACCAGGATGCAGACTATGCAGAGATGGCAGCTAAGGCTCATGTAACTCCACTATTTGATGTCACCCTGGATTTTCATGTCAGGGTATTTTCAAATCAGTAGTTTATAGAGCAAGGAGCTGGTAATGGCTATGATGCAAAACACTTACTTTGAGCCCCATGTTCTCTGTAATAACACGTCTAAACAGTCTTGGGGGTTTTACAGGGTGCAATTATTTGACAGGCTTGTGAATGCCAGGATAGTGAGGTACAGCAACGCTTAGAAATGGGTTTAGGGGAGAGGAATGGAAATTAACCTGTCATTTTCTTAAGATTAATAGTCAATAAAAAGCAATAAAAAAAGCTACAAATTGTTTATAAATTTTTCCCCCCCCCCCCCCTTCTGCTGGCTGGGCAATGGGACTCATTGCTGAAGTTTAGTTGATCTATACTAAGGTTTGTTTGAGGACATCATGGATGACCTCTTTGAGGCCCATTTGCAAGTTGGTAGATAGAAAGACATGGACTGCTTCCTAGAAGATTCAAAGTTGATATTTACGGTACCCATTTGAGGAAGTGATGAGGAGCCTTACCTAATCCCTTTCTCATATTTATTTATTGTTTAAGCTTCTCTGTTTGATTAAAGGCTGTGCTAATAGATCATCAGAGAGCGGCTTAAAACTGTGAGAGCAAACACTTATGTGTTGAGTTTCCCAAGTACGACAGACCAGCTTTCCAGCTAAGATGATGGATTGATACTGACGCTAAACTCCTTTTGTAGCCTTAGCGTCAGCTTTTCCCTTTGTAAAATAGTAGTCACACCTGCTTTCTCTCACTTTATAAAATAATTAGACAAGAGAAGATATTTTCTTAAGAGGCCTAACTCCTAGTGGGTGTCTAAACACCACTTAGCGTTGCATGGCAATTGCATTGCAAGTAAGCAGTGTTTGTTCAATGTTAATTATTGAGATTCTGGTTAATGGTGTCTTGGTTATGCCTGTCTTTTTTGCCGTTAAAGGATAAATCCAGCTGTGTATAATGTGACTTGATCTTTAGTTGTGCATGTAAATCTAGCAGGCCTGAGACTGCTGTCATTACACTGGCCCTTTGTTCTGCTCTGCTGCACTAAAGAGAGCCTTTGCTTTATCATATCACATGATAATACATGGAAGTGTAATAGTCAAAATTGTGCTGACTTTTTGCAGATAGAGCCACTATTATGAGTTTTACCTATTCCATATTTATTTAAATATTTAGTTCTTGTCAGGAGGAAAAGCCAACTAGAAGAACAGAATATCCTAACAGGCCTGCCATCCTGAATTTGCTGAGAGAGCTTAAGCTTCTCTTAAGCTCTGCTGATGAATCAGTTCCAAACCGAACAAGCAAGTGGTATATTGACATGGAAATTGGCAGCCCAGGCATACAGCTTTGCTATTCCTGTTGGTGTCAAGCTGAAACCACCCTAAATAACCAAAGTAGACTGGCATAAGAGCAAGCTTAATCCAGATTGCAATGTCTTCCAAATTTGCAGCCAAATAAGAAATAGCACTTTTATTAACAAATCCATTGTTATGTTAGGAAAAGTACAGGTCTAAAATTAGAGGGTGAATGTAGATTTTGATGTTTTAGTGGACAAAAAGTTTAGACCTGTCAGTTGTTCTTGCAGTGGTAGAAATTTTACTATTAAACAAGAATAAAAATAAAACCTAACAACAAACAAGCAAAGAAAGCTTAAAATATCTGCATAGCATAAGATCATCTTTCAGAACTGTGTAGATAAATACATATAAAAAGTGGTGTTGCAGTACGTTTGTGAGAGGGATATCACACAAATGTGTTCTTTTTGCTTTGTGAGACCCAAATGGAAACAGCCTATGCTAGAATGAGCCCAGACAATAGCCAGAATGAGCCAAAGTAAAGGCTCAAACTCGGAGCTCCTGTGAAGGGTTCTCCTCACTGCAGACAGCTGTATTTTGGGTAAGAAAATACATGTCTTCCTATCGCATATGTCTTAATGCATTCATGTTGTTGTTGCTGCACATGAGACGGTTTCTAGCCCCTTGTCCAAAGGGAGATAGTTTTCTCTGTCCCCTGCCTTAAATGCTAGGAAAAAATAGCCTTTTTGCCCAAGGAGATGGGATGGGGAAGGGTTTTGTGGGAATGAATTTAAACAATAACCAATTCTCTTCGTGCCCTAGGGCCATGTTCTGGAAGACCTATGCCTGTGTGTTTCTGAACACTTCACAGTGTTCAAGTTTTGTCTCTTCTGCTCTTAGAGAGGGAGAAAAAAGTTTCAAGAAATTAAACGTGTCCACTCTGCCTTTAGTTTACCCACATTCCCAAAACAACATAGCTGCTCATGGGATGCATGGCATTCTGTCTTGGTTTATTCTCTCAGGCCAAAATTTATTTGTAATTGTACCATGTGATTTGATGACAGGAAAAAAGCTTGTGGGGTAGGGCAGATAGGGCAGGATGGGAAACGTAGATTCTGATAACTGGTAATGAGGAAAGGAAAGTAATTCGAGAATGTGCCCTTCACACGCATTGCGGTGTGCCTGCCTCTTACTGAAAGTCATAAGCATCTGCACAAGTGGGAGGCCCTGTGAGCAGCCTTAGTGCATCTGAGCGCATGGCCATGAGATTTTGGAGAGTTTGTTTTTCTTCCTCAGGGTTTCATGTTGTCCTGAATCCAGTCAAGGTAGCGATTCACATTTGTATAAACGCCAGGTATGTCTTTGCGGCCACAGCCTATTCCCCAGCTGATGATCCCGATTAGATACATGCGATCATCCTTCATACAGACCAGAGGCCCTCCAGAGTCACCCTACAGAGAAGCAGCAGGTTAGTAAGAATCTCCTCTGTTTCCTTTTCTCACTGGCTCTAATGGTGCTCTAGATACCATCTACGGTGTCTAGATAAATACCTCATGTGGTATGCTCATGCATCAAGAGACACTGTGTTTCCAGTATTGTTGATAACAGCACTTTTGCATTCCAGACAGAATCCATCAGTGCTCCCCTCCAATATCAGGGGAGAGAACCAAAACAATGAGCTGCTAACTCTATATGGTGTCCACTTATGAAATGTAGATTAGGCTACTGTTGTTAGTAACAACAAGAGAAATATTCTTATTTAAACTCTAAAGGTCCAGAATACTTTATACTGCTGTGAGTAATAGAAAAGTATGATTATTAAGGAGCTGTTGAAACTGAAAAGATGTGGACCTTTGTTTTAGGTATTGCAATAGAATGTGTGCCCTCCTGCTTCTCATGTTACAGCTTATTCAGTTCTTTGCTTTTCTATACGGCGACACCCCCTTCCTTTTATAGAATCTCACATCCAGTAAATCACTAAGAGAAAATATTAGGAAACCCTGGTGAGGTGGAGTTTCCTACTCAGTTTTGTGTTATTTCCTATATTTGAGATTTTCAGTCTGTATTGTCCTGCTTTGTTTTGGTTAAGTGTGGCCTATTTTCCCAGCTACGAGGGGTGGAGAGAGAGAGAGAGGAAAAAAAAAAAAAAAGAAATCAAGGAGAAGCAATTGGTGCTGTTCTGTTGAACAAAAGTCTGCTAGAACTTGCGTGTAGCCTGATGCAGGGCTTCATTAAATTATTTTCTGAGGCTTTTTACTTGATTAGCGTGGACTGTGAAAGCTAGAATTAGAAAGAGAAGAGGAAGGGAATTGGGTTTACCTTGCAGGCATCATCAAGGTGTCTTGTGTCTCCTGCGCATAACATATTGTCTGTAACTGTCCGGTTGTCTAGATGCTGTGTTGTGCACCGACTGGCTGGAAACAGTCTGACGTGGCCTTCCTTCAGGTGGTCTGAATAAAAGGGAGAAACTGGAAGGGAAAGTAATATACGCATATTTGAATTTTGCAGTTCAGTTTCTGTTTTCCTGTTGATGGTTTAGAGGAGAGGACACGCAAGTAGCTGGGTGGGGGTTGGGGTGGGAGATGCAACTCATATTTCCTTGCCAAAGGGTCTTTTCAGTCCTCGGGGGTTCTCCTTCGTTAGCTGAGAACAACTTGAAATCTAGTTGAAAGAGAGCATTGCTTCTTTAAATTAGCAACACTGTCCAAACTGCACAAGCTTAAATGTTTTAGAGGCTTTTGCAGGCGGCGAATTGAAGACTAGTGAGTTTCTCGGATGGAGAATGCTTCTTTGCACAGTTCAAGCAATCTAGATCAAGTCACGGGAAATGCCTCTGAAAATCACAAACTATATGAAAAGAGATCCTGGCTTTTTAGTATTAGACTTACTCTAACAAAACCAGATATTCTGTGTATACCAAGGTTTTGTTGTACACAATACTGTGTCACTGGACAGGAATGCAATCTAGTGCTATGTTGGAATGGAATGGTTTTTTGGGGGGTGGGTGGAACTTGGCTTTATTTTTCTGCGCAGCTGCAGCTGCACAAAGCTGAAAGTTGGCAGGATTGTTGTTTTTCTGTCTACTTTTGAATTATAATTGCAGCATCCTTCCCCTCTCAAATAGTTTATCACGTGTTCACTGTAAGCAATGCTGAGGACAAGCTTCTTTCAACACTTTAAAAACAATTTATGCTAAATTTAATGTTAAGTCTTCACATCTGTTCCAAAAACCTGAAAGGTGTTCAAATCTTGATTAGGTCTGCATTTTACCATGGGTGCTTCACAGTCAACGTCTCTGCCTCAAAGAGCTTACAATTTAAAGAGAATAAAAAGACGTGAGTAGAATGTGATAGTGCTTTCTTCTTTATGTAGGTCAGCCTGTGTGTACTTTCAAACAGGTTTTGTTCCTATTTGTTGCTTGGCTTTTTATTATTATTATTTTTTAAATTAGCTCATTTAAAAACCAGTTAGCTGGCCTTTTAATATATAATTGGGATTGGTTGTTTTTTTTTTTTTTTAGCTTTTCTTTGCCAATAGCTGCACAGCCTATGTATCTTTTAGAATAATGCAACTATCTGCAATTGTAAAGTATATTAAATCTTGACAGAAATGGATTTCTGTCAGAATGACAAAATCTAAACATACACAGTACAGCAAAAATGTGCCAGTCGTGATTCCAAATCTTTTGTCTTCCTTATCCATTATGCCATTTGCAAACTTTCCACTATTGGAGAGTGTCTCCGCTAGCCTATTCAGCTGACAGAACTCAGATGAGTGAAATAACTTACAGCAAAAAATTGCTTGTGTGCATGTTCCGCTTACACATACCTTTTTGCAGTGCTGATTAAGGTCCATACAATAGTTAAGGAAGGGGTCACGCATTCGGCAATGCTAGAGGCATGAATTCTTGGGGATGGGGGCAAACTGTGGACATAGCGTATCTTCTACTTACATTCTTCATTTTTGCCATAACCAGAGATCTCGCATTCAGTCCAGTCAGGCAGCTGCAGTTTTGGTGTTGGGAGGCAGGCAGCACGGACAGTGTCTGTTTCAATAGTACATTCTTCTAAGTCAGACTTCAACTGCAGCAGAGCTAAAGAGGGGAAAAAACAAAAAATCCCGCATGATTTAACAAGCTTGAGCCAACCATAATCTTTCTAGTCGTGAGGTCAGAGAAGTTCTTACCAATATCATTGTCATAGTTTTCTGAGTCAAATCTTGGATGCACAGTGTAGTTCTTCACTTGAAACTTTTGTTCGTTCTCCTCAGGAGTTGCTCGAGAAGTCCTGCCCAGCACAATCTTCAGTTGACTTGTACTAAAGCTGAAGAACAAAAGAGTTTTACTTTCTTCCAGCATTGAATGGAGCGGACCCTTCCCTTGAAGGTGTGCGGTTAGAGCTTCCCTTTCTCTTATTTTAGCACTATTGCTGCTTCATTACCCAGATAGTTTGACCTTGCGTGTCTCAGTTGCCTTATTTTGGGGACTAATTGCTTACAGCAGCCATGACAGAGCTCCTCTATCAGCCCTTTCCCGTTCTCAAGTTTCAGACAGCTCTGCATTCTGTGTTGACAGATTTGTGCTTTATGCAGTTTGATATTCTGCTGAGGTATCTTAATGCCATACAGCTAGTTTGCCCAATAAATGCCTATCTGTAATGCTCATCACATTTAACTTGATAATCTTTTTACTCTAGGGTGACTTACTAGGCTAAATAGATTTTTTCCAAGCCTTATCCTTCCAATAAGGCTGCACTGGATGTTTCCATTCTCCAGATTTGTCTCTTGATTTTCCTGTATCTCTTTGGTAGGCAGTAGTGAATTTTCAACTCACCCTTCTTCAAAACAGTGAGCAGCTGACAAAACCCAGCAGGAGTTGATCAGAATTCCTCCACAGAGGAAGTGCTCTCCAGGTGCTCGACGATACCTCACAAAGATGGCAGCTTGCCACGGGTGAGCTGCAATGTCGGCATAGGAACCACCTTTAATCCGGTATTGGCGTACTCTGCGCTGCCTTAAGCCACAGGTGGCTGTGGATGACAAACCCAGAAACAGGCTTTGTGTTCAGCCCCTCTTGCATTGCCTTTGGGTGAAGAGCCTGTCAATCCTCAATGCATGTTGAGGAGGCCTGGCATGAACTGTTTAGGATCTGACTCATTCCTATTTCCTAGGAGACTAGTATTATGTTCAGAAAACCACAGCAAGGAAGCCCTGCCTTTTCTCTCCATTCCCAGTTCTGCAGTCGTTTTGCTGGCTGAGGAAAAGGCACTTCTGCAAGAGCCAAACCACAGAATCCCTTTCTAACCCTGAGAAGCTTATTTCAGCCCTTATTTTGCTGTAAGAGGCTTGAGTTTAACACATATGACATGCAGAGCAGTAATGCCTCAAAGAAAGAGGAGAATCAGGAGTGCTAGGATTCTTACAGCAAGTAGGCACATTGCAGTACTCCCATGTGAGCTGGTTTCCTTTCAGTACATGGCACCAGGGCTTGCTGTCATCGTCAGGATTCCTGCAGCATAGGAAAGAGAGAACCTATTTGTATTACCAGATCTGCAGGGAGTTTAGGGAGAAGGAGATACCTAAATAAAGCACAGACTGAGACTGAATGTACTATTTTTGATCTTCCTGGAGATACAAAGGGCGCTAGCAGCATGTGGAATTTGCCTCTATAGAGTCTGATGTTAGAGGGAGAGAAACATAGATTCTCATCTTCATTCCACTTGTCCTATTGGCAGCGAGCTTCGTTCCCAGCAGTACTGCATTTCCTATGCTTTAATAATTCATATAAAAGGCCAGAGCCCTGCCTCAAGAGTACTACAATGAAATTTATTTTTTTTTTTAATTCATACGATAACTGCCTACATACCGGCAGAAATTGTGACTACCAAGGCCCAGCTGGTAAGCATCTCTTCTCCAAGCAGTATATAACTTGTTGGCAAGGATTCGAGAATTCCACCTCAAACAGGTAGCTCCAGAACTGGTAACACTGTGGCTGCCTCGGTAATCTGTGCCTCTTCCAGATTTGCAGTTGATGTTCCCAACTTCAATAAGAAAGTTGCAAGTTAACTGATAAAACACGACTGTCAGCTGTTTTCCTATTGTGATTTTTGTCAAGGCATCTATAGATCAGCTATCCTTATCTCATTCTTTCTCTGCCATAAATATTAAAAGCTTAAACACTGTTTAACATGAAAACCTCAACTTTTCAGTTGACAGAAACAGAACAAGTCCACAGAGAACCCTTAAATATGCAGTGAATCATGGAAACTCTAAAGTCCTTTCCCTGTCCCCCTGCAAGTACCTTTTGAGCAGGAAGGCACACTGCAGTGTTCCCAGGTGTACTTTCCCCCTTTGTAGATGTAGCACCAAGGTTTGGAGTCCTCATCTGGGTTTCTGAAAGAGTCATGACAGTACGTGTTATCATAAAGCTATTGTTGTTAGTCCCATGTGTGCCATCTAGTTCAATAATTTCATCCTGCTCTGCAGTGGGGAGGTAGAGTTGAACCATCAGAAATAATTTCCATTCCTGTTTTAAGTGTGGAGTACATGGAGATGAGGATGAGACAGCCACTAGCAGGAGCGGAGAGCTTGTTTGTGCGGTTTATTTCACGTGCAGGAAGCACTATATTTTAGAGAGTGTTTTGAGGACCATCTGGAGAAGTAGGCATAGCTGGCAGGCACCTGGCTTTCAAAGGGAGTTTTAGGCGCAGAGAAGGTGTGAGAAGGGTGTGAGTGGAGACTGGGGGAAGACTATGGGGCGAGAGAGATGCACGTGTTTTGCAGTCTGTGAAACACCCAGTCAGAAGTTGGGATATGTCTACAGAAGTTGCAGTTGCTGATATTTGCACCTGTGCACAGTGTTCTCTGCTTTGGTATTAGCCTGTGTTGCGGTCAGCCTTTCCTTTGCCCTGTGCTCTCAAGAACGGGCTGCTTCCTGCAGCCCTGACTTGTGTGCCATCAGTCCCTCACCTGCAGTAGTTGTGATTGCCCAATCCCAGCTCAGCAGCGTCCTCTCTTCGACCGCTGTACTTCCGGTCCAGCAATCCATTGATATTCCAATTTAAGCATTCAACCCCGCTCTCTGTCATGCTCCATGTACCCCTGTATGTTATTCCAGCATCTTGGTAGCACTTAACTTCAGTATCTGAACCAAAGGGAACAAAATGTCACTGTAAGGCCAGCATCCCGAACTCCGGTTCCTTCTCTCTGTTCTGTTTAGACTCAGCTCCTAGATGTCTTGTCCAGTCAGTGAAAATGCCTTGTCAGACAGATTGTAAGTATACAAAAAGGTCTTCAGCTCCAAAATTTAAAGTTTTAGCAAGAGATACTGAGACCAGCTGTCCTTTAAGCACGTTCTTTGTAGAATTAGCTTCAGAATAAAAGGAGGCAGCTTAACAAGAGAGCCCAGTATGCAGCAGCAGCTTCTGGGGATCTCGTCCCTCTACTCTGTATAGCTGAAACCAGCAGCATTGTCCACAGTAATTGACCTAGTATAGTCACCTGTTTCACACTGCTTCCCAGAGAAGCCTTGGTGGCACTGGCAAATGAAGAGCTGTGGGGAGTAATATGCCTGTGAACATTGGCCCCCATTGTAGCATTTATTTCTAGTGCAGCCTGTGGAATAAACAGAAGCCAGGAAACATTGTTAGATTTCACAGCAGCAAGCAGCTGGCAACGTATGTCCATCTCTCTTCTCCTGACAGCTTCCTTCAACCTGTTCTATTTTGCTCTGCCTACCTGTTGCTGTCCTGTGCTTACAATCTTTTTTTTTTTTTTAATGTAGTGCTTACATTCCTCCTTTACTCTGATCTCTCTGCCTACGTTATTATGAGCCTTCTCTGCCCCTTGCCACTCCCACTTAGTCCTGTCCTAGTCAGTATATACTGGTCCTTCCATTTAAAGCCCAGATTTTCTATGTAATAACTCCTTCCCTGACAGTGGAGTAGTTCTTTAGGATGATTAGATGGACAGTCAGTCATTCCCCCCCCCCCCATCTCCTTTTTACTTTTCTTTCTTCATACTCACTTCTGACAGGCACAGTGTGGCAGTGACTCTGACCACTGTCACACCTACAGTATTCTATTCTTCTCCCCGAGAGTCTCAGCCAGGTCCCCCTGTGCTGGTAAATCTCTCCAGAGGCGTGGTCTGTGCAAATGGCTGTAATTGGAGACAGGAAACCTTATTTTAGAGATTCGGGGAGCACAAATGGCTAAGCACAGGAACTCATCTCTCTTTCCAGGAGAGAAGCATCTGTGATAGGGGACCATCTGTCTAATGGGCCACCTTTTTTCCTTCCCAGACCAGAACTGTCCCATCTGCCTCACTGCTATGCTGCTTGATGTACAGTTCTGTTATTCAGCAGCCTCTTTGGTCTTTGAATAAGAGTAGAGGGAGAGGAAAACGTCATTCTGTGAATTGTAGAAGGTATTAATATTCCGGTGTTTTGTCTCCTGTTTGCCATACTCAGACTTCCCTAGGTAACCACAGCAGACAGCTTTCAAGCTTCATTCTCTCAGCATCATCTGCTTTCCCCCTCCTGTGTTCATACAGCTCCAGGCAGAGTGACTGTAGTTTACCTGGCTTACCTCTAGATCTGGCTCCCCGTTTGAAACGCATGCGGAAGCCCTGCAAGTAAAGACATTCTGTGAGTAACCGCTCTCTTAAGAAAACTGAGAGAACAAGTGCCTCCAAAAAGCCAGTCCTTTTCTTGAGGTCCTGCCAGTCAGGGGACATCTGAGCAACCGTCTGCCCTCACTATCAAGGCAGTACAGTGAAAAGTGCCTTTAGTGCTTCAGCCTAGGTACAAAGAATTGTAAATCATTGAATTACCACGGATTACCTGGTTACTACTTGTCAGCTAAGTGACGTGAGCTTGGTGATGTAGGTACACATGTGATGCATGAAGTGGTTACGTGCTCCTGGGCCATTGCAACGGTCAACTAAAGCTTGTCAGCTTTCCATTATTTGCAGGAGGTTTAAGGAAACAGGTTTAATTTCCCACTTTCAAGGAGGTAGAAGTGAGCAAGCAGTTATCTTCGCTCAGCTGACAAGCAGCACCCCTATGAGTCTTTGTACCTTTGCACCTGATTTTTCTGAGCAAGTCTTACTAGTTAGTGATAGTAGGTGCTGAGCATGGACTGAATCATCTGTACACAATGATACGTGACCCTTCCTTTTATACAAGACTTTCCCTTGTTATCCACCATATGCTTAAATATTGAAATTGGGGTGGGAGGAAGAAGCAAAAGGTAGAGCTATGCCTATCCTCCTGTAGCCAGTTAGATAAAATATTAGATAAAATTTAGATCAAATTTTAAGAAACCCAATTATAAAGAAAATTAATTTGATCAAGCTACAAGAGAAAGAACAGCATAAAAAGAAAGAGGAAGACTGGAGTAGCAAGTTTTTGAGAAAAAGACTAAACATTTTAGAATTGTGCAGGGTTTACTGAAGCTGTGCAATATGAGACTTAAAGTGAGGGAAAAATGGTAACCATAAATGAACAGCTGTAAGTGAGAATAAATCATTGAAGATGATGACAATAGAAAAGGAAGTTAAAGGCTGATTGCAGTGGAACTCTTTGTAACAGTGAGAGGTATCTGGCTGAACAGATGCACCAGGAAAATTTGGGGAAGTCTTGTTGCATGGTGAAGTGAAAACCAGATAGGATAATACATTACTAGAAATAATCCCGGGTTAGGCATAGACTGCCTTGTGTGGCTTTTATTCCTCTGATTTCTAGTGATCTAACCAGATGCTCCTTCTGTCTGATGCAAAGAACTAGAGTCACCGGTAAGGGAGTGCTGCTAAAATCTAGGTTGAGTACTTAAGGGTGGCAAGAGTAGCATTGCTACATTGGCCTGTTACCTGGCATTGAACGGTGGTGAGCGCTCCTAGCAGTAGGAGGAGACATGTGAGTTTGCCTTCCATTCTGTGTGTTTTCCACATCACCTCCAGATCTCAATTATCTGTAGAGACAAAAGGAAAAAGGTGACATTGAACAAAGAAGGTGTTTTGCAGTAAGAGTGGAGTTCCAGGTTGTGAATTTAAATAAGGGTTTTGAAAGGTGAAACTATTCTTTTTACAAGAGTTGGTTAAATCCACTTTCCACTCTGCAGTTATTAGTCACTGCATCTAGCAGTCCTGGTGTCCCTGAGCAGGGGAGAAACTGCCAGGTTGGACCTATATGTGCTTCTACCTGATATATGTAGAAACTCTACAACCTGAAGCATGCCCTTCTGGGTCTAGGGGAAAACTCATACAGCGTTTCCAGGGGAGCAGCACTGGCAGAAGGAAATTCCAAATCCATTTTCCCAGGGTTGCTGGAAGTCAACAATACTGTGTCCAATATTAGAGAACTAGACTTGTCTGATGAAGGAGTGTAACGCTGACTGGAAAGTGTAAATTGAGATTCAGCTCACTGAGGCCCACTCAGAGATCTCTCCCAGGGCAACAATCTGCTAAGGGTCAGTCTGTGATGACAGTGGTTTGAAAGGATTTGCGTTTTATGCACGGGTACCGTCTTTGGGTAAGAATGAGGACTTGTGCCTCCTGCAGACGGTCTCACTGGCACTTGATGGGTGAGTTAGCAAGAAGGAGACTATGATGGGGACCATGCAGGGACAGCACTGCTATGTATTTGTTTTTCAATGTTCCTGTATCTTCTCCCTGTTTTCCCTGGCTGAGCTTTTAATTTCCGCTGTTGTAGTATGGTTTTGCTGAAAACCAAGAGTGTGATAGTTGGCTGGGAAGCTAGCTTTTGGTCTGGCACTCTCATTTATTCGTTACAGCGTTTCTTTCCTTGTGTCACTTCTCTGCAGTCACAACTACCTCTTATTCCTTTTAATCCCTTCAGCAGCTTTACACTTCAGACAAAGCCCTTTGCCATTCCGCGTAAAGAATTTCTGCTTCCTCCAGACTGATTTACATATTCTGTCCCACAGCAGTAGTCCTGGGAGAGAGCCCACAATGGTCTCTCCTGTGGGAGATCACCATCTGCTGTGAAGTGGCTGGCATTAAGGATGAATCTGGATCTCTGCCTCTGTTCATCTCATGTGCTTTGAAAATCTCTTTCTCTCTTTCCTCATCAGACCTTGATTTCCTACCTGGCAAAGTTCCTGCTCTGACCTGACTTACCACAAATAGCTATAGGAAGGGCACTTAGGTACTGTGATCAGTCTGTATTTCTTCTCTCTGTAGCAAAATATATTTCTAGCTGGCTTTGAGTGGGCAGTTTCTTGGCAGAAGCATGAGTTTAGATCTCTGTAACCACTGACTGCAGGGAGACATGTACCATCTTGTACTCCAGTTTCCCTTCCCCCGGTTTGTCTCCTGACAAAGGAGGAAAACAAGTGGTTTCTTTCACTGGAGCAGATAAGATTTGTAGAAGTGCATACTGGTTTAGGGCAGTTGCTAGGTAGAGAAAAATTCTGAGCACCAGGAGGTGGAGGGGCGTGTTTTCATAATGCAGCTTCAGTCCTGTGCAGATAAAATAGTTTATGGCTGAAATTAAGCAACAAATCTTTTCCCCTAGTTGGACCAGAAAACATTTCTCTTCCTAATACCTGAAAAATGCATGAAGATAAGAGACAAAGGCCGTGAAGGGCTCTCTGAGGTGGTCTGTTGCCTACGAGGGAAGTGTGCTTTGTTATGGGCTTCTGGCTCCTCTGTTAATCCCTGTAGAAAATTCCCTGAAAAAAATCTATTTTGTCCTTTCATTTATCTTGATGACCTTAGAGTAACTGTAAAAGATCAGGAAAATGGATGTACGTAAGAGAACTCCAGTAAAGCCTGGATTCTAGCTAGATTCTAGTTCTAGTTTCTATATAGAAACACTGCTGAATTTGAGAACTTAAAGTTGTATTGGGACATTAATGGGACTCTGTGAGTGTGTGTGTGTGTCTGTGTGGATGTTGTTTATGGCAAAATATAAATCGGTAAGAGGGATGCAAATTATTATACAGTACCAAATGTATAGAAACTTAGTGCCTTAGGAGCTTTATAGAAACATGGTGTTAAATAGCAAGGACCAGAGAATCTATGAAAAGCTGGGAAGGTATTTTCAATTTTCACATTTGAGTAAAAGATTTTAAGGACGGGAGTTAGCATTATTATCTAATCTGAATTCTTATAATAAGACAAAAAATGTTATCAGGGGTTTCCTGATTTAGGCCCATATTTTCCTCAAACAGTGTTAGTTACTCCTGCATGCAGTAACAGTACCTGTTTTTACAGTTGAACAAGACAATGTTCACCAGGGTGAACAGATCATTAGCTTGATACTCTGTAGCAGCCAGGACTGCTGCTGCAGCCAGTCTAGATAGCTGAGATGGTGAATGACTAGAGTGTGATGTAGATGGGAACATCACTGTTTTCAGCAAGTCCAGCACCAGAAGGTGCATCTTCTGGTGCTTCATTTAAAGGTATTATGGCTCCTATACACAGCAGGAGCTGGGGATGAGGCAGAGCAGCAGGCAAGAAGGTCTCAATTCTGTTTCTACTCCCAGTCTCTAGAATTGCTCGGCAGTTACAAATCTTTGACATAATATTCAGGTGCTCTCTCCCACGTTCTTGGCTTTTTACCATCTACGTGATATGCTCCTTAAGCAAGTAGAAAGCTAACCCAAACAATTATTTGAGAACTACTACTTTCAAAAATTAGGAGTTCGGGTCTGTTTACATGAAGCCAGAGAAGGCAGCTGGATAATAGCTTGGTAAATTGGAATGCAACGGATGAATTAGTCATAAGCTGGGATCAAAGGCTAAAAAGGGAGAGAGAATTAAGTTGTCTTTTTTTAAGGGCTTGCTCAAAGAAAAAGCAAAAGATACAAATGTTCCAGTCTCTGAAGCAGAAGTGGGAGTAGACCAGGATCATTTAGGCCGTCATCTCATGTTTAGCTCACGCAAAGGGGAGGCTAAATTGCAAGTCAGACTAAAGATTCATGGAAACAGCTTCTGAGATGCTTAATTATTGCAAGTTTTATCTTTGGGCCACATCTTGATGGTGAAATCTGTATAATTCAGACCCTCTCTGAGGGATGCGTATAAGTTTGCAGATTTAGTATGAGTCCCCATATATTTTTGAGCCCCTTCTCACCTCTTAGGAATCATCTTGCATTGTATAGCAAGCCCCTTTTAAATGGTATAAGGATAGTGTTTTTCAAGTAGGCATTACTTCACAGGACTGTTCTAGCTGAATCTGAACTAAATCAGTGAAGTTCCTGAAGATGCAGTGCAAGATCTAAACTGTTTCTCAGAAGTCACTTGGTTGCTGCTGTTATCCTCAATTCCTGCAGCTGTTGCCCATTACCAGAGCTATGCGCGGACATGTTCTGAATCCCACAGCTGCAAGGTTTTCAATTGCTCTTCGTTAGTACCACTGGTTATTTTTGCTGCCATCTGTGAGGGAGGCTGGAATCTCTCACTGACAGCTTTAAGAATGAGATTCTGCTAGCTAAGACCTCTTTAAGGAAAGATTCATTAAATGACACTCAAATTTGAGAGGAACTGTTTTGTTAGAATTTCTCTCTGGGAAGCACCATAAAGAACTGTTGAGACCTTGTTTCTGAGGTACACATTAAGATACCCAAAATAAGTCAACATTGGTGAAGTCTGAATTTATCTATTTATTTATTTTTGCAGGACAGAGTGGCAAAGCCAGCCTATCTAATATCTTGGAGGGAGTCCAAGATGACTGAAACCAGTGGGAACTATAGCTAGTTTTAGGGGGGGGGGAACCCCTGCTTTCACCAAAAAAAAAAAAAAAAAAAAAAAGAAAAAAGAAAAGTCTTAGAGACTGAAAGGAGAAATCCCTATTTGAAAAGCACCTGAGTGACTTGGAATAAGAACTGAATGTTATAATCAAGTTTATCTCGTATAGTCTGCTGCACAAGCACGTTCTAATCTTATGCTGTTGTGTGCTTATACTGCAGAATGCTACAGCTTGTGTTGCTGCAGTTACCATGCGTCAAATACTGCATCCTTTCCTCTGCTTAATTTTGCTGCCCCAGTTCAGGCTAGCTGGTATTATAATGCTACAACCTTTCCACCCTCCTCTCTCCTCCCATGCCTGTCCATCCATTTGTGGCTGGCGTCCCAGTATACATGGAAAGTTGGTAACATCTGTTGACAGCTGTATCTTTCTAGTCTCATCTTTGGGAAAGGTAGAACCTATGCCAGACAACTGAAATGTTTTGAACGATAAGCCCTATCAAACTGACACCATATGGCTGTTTGAAAAATACTGTGTTTACAAGACTGCAAGCAGAAACCTACTAGCAATACTCTTTCTTATAGAGCTCTGCTAAACAGTCTGTGCCTGCTGCTCTGACCCTTTGCTTCCTCTTTGATGGAGAAATAATCCAGCAAAAAGTCTTTGATTCTATACTTTCAGGTATATTAGGGCATAAAGGCATATGATACCCTGAATGTATAGTGGCTGTTACACTTAATTCTTTTGGAATTCAACATGAATTAGAAGCTGCTTGTTTTGTTCATAATTAGACTTTGAGCAAGCATGTGTGTAATAAGGAAATAGTTTCCTTAACAAGAGAAACAGACAGAAGGGGGAAATGGAGCTGAGGAGGATGAATTTGGAGGTTTGGCTAAAATATGTTTTAAAAATGGATCAAGATTTTAAAGGATGGAGTGAATTGCTACAGTGAATGCCTAGGCCTTGTAGTGAGAGCTTTCTACTCTTAGAAGAGCCAGTGCTATACAAATCTTTTTCCTATTGACCTTTATGTTAGCCAACACGTAGGGGAGTAAGCTGAACAAACATACTGCAACCAATACGCTATAGCATTTTACTGGAGATGGTTTATTCCATGCTAATCAAGCAGACCAGCAACTCATGAGATGCCACACATGGTACAAGGATTGAGTTAGTAGCATATAACTCGGTACAGGCATGGAATCAACCTGATAAGGAATGCTGCAGATGCATTACCTCTGCTGAAGCATCATCAGCAAGGATACTTTAAATCTCAAGTTTTAACTCTTAATGATTTTATTTTTAGTAACAGCCTTTCTCAGCAGCAAGGATATGAGTGTTATCTTACAGATGTAGAAAAAGAACTTAAAAAAAACCCCAAACGAACAGCATCTTACCAAGGTCACACAAAAGTCATTAGTAGAACAGAGATTAAAAACAGCTCCCCCTAAATCCCTCCCCTGCAGTGACCCAGATCTGTCCATTAGAGAATACTGCTTTGATTCTGAATCTACAGCACTAATGGTTTTCTTCCTGATGGACCACTATCTTGAATTAGTTCAAATAAAGGATTGCAGATCCTTTCTGTCTTTTCCTGCCTTCTGGAGAAAGTGTTGCTATATCCGTTTTCTGAACTGAGCAGAAGATATTTGGACTCTTTACTATTTCCCTTTAAAGGATGACAGCGGACAAACCTTTCCTTTTGGAGAAAAGAAATAAAAGAAATAGTAAGAGTCTGAAGTCTTTGAAGGCATTGGAGGAAATGACTATTTCAAAGTCCGGCTTCCTTTTGGGAATCACTCTCAATATTTCCTGTGGTTTTGGCTGCATTTGAAAGGAGGGTTTTCAGAGAGAACTGAAGAAGACTCGCCCTCCTCCTCTCTGTCCCTCCATTATCCTGGTTGGGAGCCTAGGGAGAAATGCATAGTCTGATCTCCTCCCAGGAAGACAATAAATAATCCTTTCACAGCTGGCTCTCCGGGTCTCTCCTTACCATCAGGACGTTTGTTTACAAGCCTTCTTTGATATGAAGTTCTTTTGCTAAATTTTCTCTGTGCAGGAGACTCCTCCCTGCTAACTGGTCAGAGCCTGAGGCTGTCAGCCCTTTCCATGGAATAGCTTGCTGAGGCTTTCTTGAAACAACTGAAAACTAGCAGCTTTAAATCTCCTCAGACGCTGAAAGGCAATAGCTCAGTGTAATGCCACTAAAGCACCATGATATTTAATTATTAAATAATAATGTTTAGTAGTATTTAATAACAATGCCATTGATGTTGAAAATGGGAAATACGCGTTTTGAAACAGGTGCAGAGTAGCACATACCTTTTGACTTTTCTTCTTCTGTATTCTGCTGATGATTTCCTTTACAGACCAGTCTGGTTATGTGTTTTCTGCGTCTCAGCTCTGATCTCTCTGAACAGCTCCTATCCTACTTAAAACTCTACTCAAGGGGGTGGAGACTGAAGAGGGCGGTAGGGCAAACTTTTTTTTATTTTTTTCTTCTTCCAGAGGGAAGATATTGGGCAGGCTGTGGGGATGACCTAGGACAGGGTGGCTTCAGGAAAGGAAGAAAAGTTGCTTGCTGAAGTAGTAGGGCATATTGAATTTTACAGCCAACTGGTTTTGTTCATTCTTTATTCCAGTCAGAGTGCAGATTCAGTCCTTAGAACAATTTTTCCACCTGTTTAACATCTTAAGGTTCAGGAAGAGGGAGAGTAGTATGTATCCCTTATAAAGAACTGTTTCTTCATGCTTTTAGGAACATGAGGGGAGAAATGCCCAAGCAGCGCCCCAGTGAATGCACGAATATATTATTTCTAACGTGATCAGAGGTCTGCAACTTGTAGGCTTTGTCTTAAACCTGAGGAGCTCCCATTTCAAGCAGGAGCATGATGTGCTGTGTCCGAATGATATCTGTTGAGAATTTTTGGCCTGATCTCTAAGTGGAGCAGAGCATGCCATGAGCAGTGCCACTTGGAGATGAAATTGTCAGTGGAGCCCTCAAGTTCCATGCAGACAGTGAGCAAAACTGCTAAGAATCCTTAACTAGAAATGAGGAATATCATGGTAAGGACCAAAGGGTTAAAGGTTTATTGCTTAGAAAGTGATAGTCTACTTACCAGCATACAGTACGCAATATCAAAGTGTGGCAGACAAATACAAATGATCAGTTTTAGATCTGAACTTAGGGCTGGGATATGACAAGTATCAGTGATGTAGTGGTTACAGTAACAGATGTGTGCTAACTTTTAGGAACTGATTCGCTAGCAATGAGGTTCCTGATACAATTTAGTGTAAGCACTGACATAAGAAATAGCTCGTGAGGGACTTTCACTTTCAGGAAATAGCTGCACAAGAGTCCCCTGTTGGGAAACTCGGCAAGGGTTATTAAGCACAATGGCAAAAGGAAACACTGGTGACCCTGAATGATTCTCTCTTCTCTGTGTGGAAATCTATGTCAGAATTTATAACTTGTTTCTCTGAGAGTCACAATGCAAGCAGTAACGTAACTGCCATGAAACTGATTTAGGGACACCTGGTTATTGACTGTTACCACAGGGAACTCCTGGTTGTTGAGGAAAAAGGTGATTGGACGCTGCAGAGAGAACAGGTGCTAATTTGTGTTATTTATAAAGATTCCAATTATTTGCTACTGGACTTCTAGATTAAAGATGCCAACAAAGTGGTGGTTGGGGACAGGATTCAAAAAGTTATTTTATTTCCTGGCTTTTCACAGCTCGTGTTTAAGGACACTTCCTGTAAAAAGATTTTTCTGCAGCTGACTAGAGAGCGTGGTATAAGTGTCATTTGTAGTGCTTAACATACTTTAGGAAAGCCAGCAGTAAGCGTCTCCTGCTTCAACATAACAGCCACCATCTCCTGGCTTACCTCTAAGCTGCTCCTCTCTCAGGACAGGGTTTCTGCAGGCTACCGTGTTAGTGATGAAGTGTGGAGCCTAGTCTGTCAGGATGTTGTCTGGGCGCTCTTCATCAAGAATGCAACTGTTCAAATGCTTTGTGGATCCTCTACATTCAGTTCCATACCAGCTGCAAACTCCAGGGCATGTAGGAGGTCTGGAGGGGACTCGGGACAACTTTGGTTCAGGCTGTACGTTGCCTAACTATAACTACCATAACATCTTTACTAAATACATATCAAACCTGGAAATTGGAAGGTTGGGGTCGGGTCTATTTAACAACATTAAAAGATGCTAAGTTGAGAACTTTAATCTCTAGAGAAAAGTTTAATCTGCTATGCCTTTTTCCGGTAGTGTGCATAGCTCTTGGTGAAGGGCTCAGGTGATCTCTGGAGATGTTGTGGGGGTTGTGGGGTATTGTGTTTGGGTGGAGTTGTTTTTTGTTTTTCTTCACAGACAGTATTACTTCACATGTATATGTGCTATCCTCATCACAGTAAAGACTGCATCAACAGTTTCATCTCTCTGTGACAGACCAATGTTGAGGTTGCTTCCCTTTGCATGGTTGTCCATACTAATAATTAGGATTAGATTGATATTTTAAAAACAAGTAATTGTCACCTATGGTAGACAGCTAAATACCTTTAAAAATCAGTTTTAAGTGTCCAAATGCAGACAGTCCTAAATCCAACTTGTTACTTGTCTTACGTAGAAGACCTATAAACTGTTCCAGCTTTATTTTTATTATTAAGTGGTAGAGAGTACATTCAGAGGTGCCCAGACTGGATGTAAATCTAATTGTGCTTCTTCGAATATCCCATTATAAACGTGTACGTCAGCATATCAAACCAAGCATAACACGGTCCTGCTCCAAAGAGCTGCCTGTCGCCCTCCGCTCTCTCTAGAGAGGAAGGTGCATGCTCACTGCTGAAGCAACTGTGTGTCAGAGACTGCACCCTCCTGAAGAAGGGTGCTGCTCTTAGCCATATCTTTCTGCATTAGCTTTGTATCTTAAATGATATTTATGAAACCGTTCGGTGTAGAAATCTGTGTCCCAGGATAATGATATGTGATGGATGAGTGAGACATTGAAACTAGGGTAGCAGGAGATAGGTATCTGCATGAGTGGCAGATAGGTATCTGACAAGACGGACTCTAGAGTGTTAGGTTCTCTCATGCGTATAGCTCTCAGTGAATTGCAATACTGCTTATTGCTAAATGCGTTAAACAATAGTATTATGGGGTTGGATGTTTTCTTTGGAGCTGGGCTTTTCGGGGTTGTTGGAGTGTGTGTGTGTGTGTGTGTTTGCAGCATGCAGAGTTTGGGCACAAGGCAGTAAAGAGAGCAGCGCTCCAGGCAGCTTAAGTTCAAGAGCCCCCTCTGTTGCACGTTTGCTGGAACCTCTCTACCAATGTAGATATAAAATGAAGCCATTTTCTGGTTTCATGGGGGAAAGTTCACTGTCTGCTAAGGTGAAAGAAGTATGTTGTGGTATGAATAAAGTATTTGCACAGATCACTGCTTTATAGTCACTGTACCTCTGCCTTATACAAAATCCTCTTAGGGATTATTCTCAGCGTTACTTGAAGTACGTGCAAAAAGCTACTCAGATTCTGCCGTTGTTCTGCTTGTGACTAGGTCTGAATGTTTTGATGCACAGAAGTAATTTGATGAAGTGTTCTAGCAGTAAGGAGGATAGACTTTTTTGAAAATGGATGCTACTGGCAGGGACGCCAGTTGCCTGCATTCTCTAGAGATGGACTTTTGGTAACAAAACCTCAATAACCATGTCAGAAGTCTGTGCGTCCCCCTTCTGGCAATCCTTTGCTGCCATAGCTGTGGAGGATTTCTGGCACTCTCTTTGGGCAGCAGCTTTCCTGAGCAATCAGGATACGGAATGTGCTTTTGTCCTGGAAGGTATGTGTTGAGCAGCTGATCTTGACTGTCTTCTTTCAGTGCAGTGACTGCCAAACCTCCGTCTCCTCTCGTAGGATGTATTGATGCATTTCTGTCCTGATAAGTAAGTTCAGTCTAATGCCAGAAGCCAAGTTTATTGTGGTCACTTCACTCTGCACCTTCTCTGAGCTCTGTTATTTGAATAACAGTACTGTTTCACCCTGTGCTGTCTTCTCCACCTAGGCTGGCCTCACTCTGATTAGTTACTAAGTCTTAGTTTTATAAATAAGTTTATAAATAAGCTTTATAAATATGTTGCTGAAAATGATTATCAGCAACAGCTCCTTATTCTCACATGGGTACTTGGTACTAGGTGAAGAGACTCTGTGCTTAACCAAGGACTTCCTGTCAGGCCACTAACTGACACAGGAAGAGCATTGTTTTTTTTTTTCCTGAAGAGTTATGAGGCTGTAACAGGCTTTCTCTATGCCTTTCCTGAGTGGCAATCATCTAGTTTGAACAGGAATTAGATGGGCAACTGGGAGACTGGTCATAGCTGTTCTGTAAAGACTTAATAGTCCAGGCATCAGTATCCTGATCTGACAGCTCTGCTTCTGAATGTGTGAGCAAAATTCTGCTGTAGAAGCCTGGGTTAAGAGGAGGGTTGTAACCAGATCCGTAACTATTAAGGACACAGTGTGTCGTTGTCTTCCCATCCCATGTACGCTGTGCTCTGATTCAGATCTACCTGTTTATCAGCAATTAGTAGCTTTTGTACCCAAGAAGAGCCTGAAAAATTGTTTAGAAAATGGGCTGCAGGCCATGTGCATAGTGGAGGCAAGATTCTTTGGAATCCTTAGTACAAAATGACCACACCTGAAAGAACAGTTGAAAAATTTGTCGAGTTTATGCCATTTAGCATAATGGCAAAGACTAGGGATTTGCTTGCATTGCAGTCTAAAAGTGGTATTGCAGCTCTTCACAAAACTAGTTCATAAGCATAAATAGTTTAGGTGTACTGATAGTGCCTCATGACGTGTTGGATTGCGAATCCCCTCTAGATCCTTAGCTAAGTATTCTGGCAGCCTAGCAGGACTCTGAATATTCTTTGCTTTCATCCAGTTTCATCCAGCTAAATACTCATAGCTCAGACCTGTCATCTTCAGCTGGCGTTACACCCTCAGAATGTAATCCAGAGATGGTTGATCAAGCAGTTTGTATTCTTCAGAATGCCTAAGCTCATCCAAACGTTTATAGTGAAGAAAGCTCTTTGTGTAACTGAGAAACAACGAACTGTTAATCCTTTTTCAAAGGAACAGCAATACAGAATAGGGCAGACTTTGGCATCGGATGCTCCCATACCGTTCCATCTTTGGTCTGCCTTCACTTTTACTTTCCCCCCTCCCTCTCAAAGAGGCTTAGCGCGCAGGAGCAGTTGTTCCTCCTGGGCAGCAGTTGCATTCCTTTTCCGTCAGAATGGCAGTTCCTTCCCCAACAGGCTCGCTCTTACTGTGCCCAGAACTCAGAGTAGTTAGCTCCTTCGAGGTAAGCACAGACCACTTAATCTTTTCTGGCTACAGTACAGGTGTCTCTTTGGAATTGCAGTTAGCTAAGAGAGGCCTCCAAGACTGGAAGCAATGGAGGAAGAAGTGCCGTGTGATGTGTTTGTTTAGCAGAAGCTGGCAACAGAACAGAGGTTATTGACAAGAGATAGGATAAACTTTTGTACAAACACATTGAGTGGATTCAGCTGTCTAGCTGTGCCATGCTTGTGGTCTGCTGTTGGCCTACATTCCCTCCCCCAATGGCACAGCTGTGCTTGGTGGCCCTGGCAGCCTGCAGTGGATGTGACTGCCTGTGCTGCATGTCGAGCTGCATGCTTCCCTCCCTGTGCCACCATGCATGAGTTTGCAGTGGCATTAAAGCACCTAACTTCACCCAACCCATAGCAAGTCGTCAGGAGAAAGCAATACCTAAAAATGATGTAATGCGCAGAATGGTACTTTGATTTGGGGTGGTGGGGGCTGAGATAAAATGTACATTTCAGTACCTTTAGCAGATTTTAATGAAGTTGTGGGAAGGAGACAGCTGCTCTGTCACTTTAGGTAATTAAATAGCCCATGAGCTCTACTCCCCCTTTCCCCGAGTCCTCGACTTCAGACAGACGAGCAGACGCCACCGACCTCCGGGGGAACGAGGGGGCTCGCGGCGCCCCCCGGCGGCTCGCG